TAATCTTTTACCTCCGTCGGCAGGTGACACCACAGGAGCGCCGTGCGCGGACTTAACTAAGTCACTCTGGCTTTCATTCACACGCTGCTTCTGATGCTCTGTTATTGCACAGATAACAGGATGAATACATTTGAGACCAGCGAGAGGGTAAATTCGAGGCGGGGCATGCCATGACTGCGGAAAGTATGGCCAAAAAAAAAAAAAAGTGAAGCGACCAGGAAGTGAAACGTTTTTCTAACGATGGCCATGTTGAACAACAATGACCGGTTGTGTAACATACAACTCCCCTTCTTTAATGAAAAACAAAACAAGCATCAGCAGTCATTCATTTTTAATGAAAGGAAAACTGTAAAACTTGTCAGCAAGCTGGGTTTGACAGTCTTTGTTTCATTTCACATTTGGTCATTGTATGATGACATGAACCCTGTTTATAATTTGGATTGTCACGGTGCATTTTTTTAATGAGTCAGAATTGACTAATACTCTTTTTTAATATACACTGAAAAGAATGTGTTAAATTTACTCAATTTTATTTCATTAAGTGTTTCACCAACTAAAATCAGATCCATATCCATATATTTTTTAAGCAGACTTATAGTCCACATTAAAAAAATGATCTCCGTGATTTTATTTTGTGCAAGCAGGTGGCAAAATACAATTAAGTTTCTGTGCATGTAATGTAAATATGTAATATGCCAAACTAATTCTTTCCATGTCTTTAATATGATTGATCAACAACAATATTGTCTGTCAACAACTCAACGTGATGGCAAAATCAATTGTACTGTCTATAAAGAAATAATTCCAAACTCATTTGAACTCTCTCAAGATGCTTATTATTGAGCATATTCTCAAGCGAAACTGAATAATATACAGGATAGTCGCTGATGGTGTAGTGGTCCACTCGCCTGACTAGTGTGCAGGCAGCGTTGGATCGGTTCCCACTCATTGACAGTGTAGATGTGGGTAGGAATGGTCTCTATATGTGCCCTGTGCCTGAATGGCAGTTTAGGGTGTAGTCTGCATTCTGCCCGAAGTCAGCTGGGATAGGCACCAGCACCCTCCCACGACCCTGTTCAGGATAAGCGGTCTTGAAAATGGATGTATGGATGAATAGATGAAGAATATATTTTAATAGCTAAAAAGTAAAACACAGCCTACATTTTAGGTGTGTTTTACGTGTTATTTGGGAGGAGTAAAGAAGCATTTGCCAACTGAGAAAAACACGGTCCGAAGTTAAAGTTAAAGCTGAGCCATGACTGCTAATGCTAACAGAAATTGACACTTTAGATGAACAGTGTCTGATCATTAGAGTGTACACTCTGTGCAATCACTGCAAACAACTCTTGGAACCATCAACGGGATTTTGATTTCTCATTTTAAGGTCGATCCTCCGGGATTAACTTCAAACTCTTCTGCCATTTTGCCACTCCTGCTACTTTGTTGTTGTTTGCATGGCCAATGGGGCCTTGTGACTCTTGTTTTGTCAACTGAGATTACAAAAGAATGACTGGCATGATCAAGTGCTACCATGAGATCATGTGCAGTGGGCTTCAAATTTCAACTAACTCAAACCCTTTCATCCTTTTTCCCACAAAAAGAATGACAACAGAACATGGAGTGCCAGCTCGTGACCAGATTTGCCACAAAAGTCTGGTTTTACTCTATGGCTTCATTCAAGCTGCAAGCATATCTGGTTCCAATCAGATTCCTCCTCAAATCTGATGTTTGGGGCTGACCTACCACACTGTTCGCAATTTTCCAAAAGGGATCTGGCCCTGTTCAGACTGGGCCACATTATTGACCCATCCGACAGGTAGCTATAGCAACGATGTCGGAACAGAGGCGTCATTCAGCACACGCGATGTTTGGCGTCACCGTTCCGCACTTCGAATGGTGCCAGGGTCGTGCTGGCCATCGGGAGTTTGCCGCTGTGTGACGGCCCCGACCTTACCATCCCCAACCTGGGCCGTTTAAGAATATTATTCCTATGCTGAATTTTGGTCCCAGTATTGAATAGGTGACAATGTGACTGTAATACATGGTCAGTCCAGACCATACGTCCATTTTCTACGGCTTTCATCATTCACACTTATGTGCAATCACCATTTCCAAAGAACGCTGTTTGCACCGGGTCAAATCTCTCAACTGATGGGGTAGTTGATGACTGCAGCGGTATGAAGGAGGGCATGTTGGACGGGCCCTCAAAAGTGTTGGCATGCTGTACACACTCCACTGTCAGTCTGTGATGTCACTTGCATGACGGCTAAGCTTTTAAGACACCATAGCTGCTCCTCTGAACAAGCCACAAGCAGCCTACTGCTACTCATTTTTGCTGCTGACCTAGCTCTTATTACGTGATTTGGTGCATGCGGCCAAAGTACAGTGTGTGTAGATTACAAATGAACGTGGATAGCTACGGTATTTCCTCTGCTGACTTCTGAAGTTGTTTTTCTAAGATCTTGGTTATCAATATGGGTTTTTGGTTTGTTGTAATTTCCAGAGGTGTGCATTCTGTCATGACTGATGGAAGGACAATTAATCCTTCACTGATGGACGCCCAATTTGATGATGAATGGCAAATCACGGTAAACGTAAAAAAGTCAAAAAATTTTTTTGAAAAACTGACCAACTACCCATCGACGGAAGTTGTTTTTCGTCTGTTACTGAAATCGCCACGAACCAGGACAATAGCGACGGACCTTCTCCATCTGTCACTGATGGACTCCCTATCCATGCTAGCACCTTTGGCCAGAAATTCCAGGAGATAGAAAAGTCATTGACATATGTCACAAATGCATCGTTTGCATGTCAGAATGATTATTGAAACGATGACAGATTGACAAGGGCGGTTGGGTGAATCCGACCGCTGACAAATGACGGATCGTCAAAATTCACTGACGCGCCCACCTGTCGCGCAATTAAATCATCACAGTTGTGTTGTTGGTGGCAAGTGTTCATTGTTAGCATCCGTAACCTGCATCTATGGAGAATTCTTGGAGCAAGGCTAATTTAGGCAAGGTTAATTGTGCTAGCCTTCTCATCTTAGCTTTAGTTGCATTGTTTCTTTAAATCACCATCCCACCCTCAGCACGACCGACGGCATCTCCTACTTCCCTCGCTCGCTCGGCGTCTTCTTCTTCCCACTGCCCCCCTGCTGCTGCATTGTGTCCAGCATGGCCAGGCTGCCTCCCTGCCACCAGGTCCCACTGCCTGTGGCATGTAATTGACTTTATCCCTGCACTGGAAAAAACGGGCGGCCCACGCCAGGCTGGAGGTGACCCATTTCCCCCGGGCATTCGGCGGCCTGCTAATCAACCATTCTCTGGGGCCGTTTCATTCACTCCACAATAAGAGCAACTCCCTTTTGGAGAGCTCCATCAAGAGGTTGGCAGGCAGGCGGGCGGGCAGATGGATCGAGGGGTAGCGGCAAAGGGAGGCTTGTCTCAACCCTGACTTTGTGCCTCTGCGTTTTTACCTCATCGGCAGCAAATGTGCTGATTGTCTTCTGGCAAGCGGCAGGCAGGTGAGCCGTGGAAAGACAATGCAGGTAGCGAGCAGACAAAAAACAATGGGGCCGACAGACAGATGGGAGAAGATCCTCGTGAAAAAGATTGAAAGGGAAATGTGGGCAAAAATCTCAAAAGCAGGAAGGGCTTTCACCATGAAAATCTTGGATTATTTAGAGGAGGATTGGTAAGAATGCCCTCTCGTTGCCTTGTAGCGAAACACAACAGTTTCAACTGGAGGCATGCCACTTAATGCTATTTTAATTAGCACCAACGTAACTAAATCCGCCTTACTACATTCATGAATCCAATGTTGACGACTCAAGTCTGCGAAAGATGATCTTGCTGCATGCTGATGGGTCTATATTATTCTGAGAAGTAAAATAAATGTTTTCCAGAGGGCATCGGCGCATGATGATTAAATGAGACACCGTCGTCTCCCTGCTGCCATTGCTCTGGATTGCAATGCAACGGAGGCGGCAGTACTCTGGTCAGAGGATAACCATGTAATCAATGAAATGAAAGAAGCTGCTCTGGCTGTGAAGGTTAAGAGGGTTACCGGTGGCTTTCAGGCCACTCGCTGCACTACTTGTGCATGCGTGGAGCACTCATACTCAAGTCTGCTTCTTCCTCTCTTCTCACCTGTTTGTGTGTTTGACATGCCTCTCGACTGACAACCCCCCCGCCCCACCATTGCCTCTTTTCTCCCTGGTATTTCTGTTCCTCTGCATTTTCTTGGTCTCCTCCGGTAGTTGTGTTCACTCTCCCCCTTTCCTCCTCCCTCACCCCAGTGCCTGTCGCTGTCGCTGTGGCAAAGAAAGTGACCAATCAGAGCTCAAGTCACAGCAGCGGCTTCTCCCTCCCTCCCTTGTATCTTCCATTCCTTTCCTCTTCCTCCTCCTCCTCCTCTCATTCCATCTGCTTCGCCTCCCAACAACCTTTATCAGCTCACTTCCTGGAGACGGAACGTGATGCATTATGGGAGACAGACGGCTGTCTAACGGGGCTAGTTGTGCAGCCTGGCTTTTCATCAGAGACACTGCTAATCCTGTGTGTGTGTGTGTGTGTGTGTGTGTGTGTGTGTGTGTGTGTGTGTGTGTGTGTGTGTGTGTGTGTGTGTGTGTGTGTGTGTGTGTGTGTGAGAGAGAGAGAGAGAGAGAGAGAGAGAGAGAGAGAGAGAGAGAGAGAGAGAAAAACCATATGAGCTGATGAACTCCCACATGCACAGTCCCACACACAAATACACAGACAAACAAACTCAAATTTGTTCTCCCAGTGGAAGAGGCTGGGCAGACGTGTTTGTGTTTGTCATCCCCTGCCAGCAGAGGATGATAGGTGTGATATGGGCATATTTTGTCCTGATGGTTACAATTTGCAACTTGCCCCACATTGTTATTTATACGATTCAGCATCGACGTAGTCGCAAGTCAGAAAAAGAGCTGCATAACTCCTTTCCGCAATGATGAACAGGTTATTTCTACCTTGGTGCAGGTGCTGATATGTGTACATGATGAGCAGTTTGGGGGAGAACTCCATGGAACCTCTGATCGCAGAAAACCGGAAACGCAAACTCTCCACCTGCGACACACCAGGCCTCGGGTGAGTGTAACGGATCAGCAAAGTCCAAAAGATCATGTGATGCCATTAATGGTATTTATAGCTTGACTTGAGCCAATAAAACGTCTTCTTTCGTGGACTAATACTTACTGCCCTCTATTTATTGGCACCATTGGTTAAGATGTAATCTGAAGCTTTTTATAAATTCATTTTTCGAAAAAATATGGAACCAAAATTGAATAAAAAGAGGAAAATCCCTTCTTTAATCCAAGTGCAAATTTTCAGTGGGGAGAAAAGACACACATTAAGAAACAATTTTGTCATATCAAGTGATGTGTGCGGCAATTCTTTACAACCCCTGATGTCAATCATTTTCTACAAGCCCCTTTTCCCACAAAGCTACACCAATCTCCTCCTGCAATGTTTCACGCAATGGGGCAATACAAAAAGACAGCTTTCCACCATTGCTCTTGGCACAATCCAGCGACCTGGGATCTCTCCTCTGCACTCACCTTTTTTGCTCACTCCACAGCTTTTCAATGGGGTTGATGTCTGGGGACTGAGATGACACCGGGAGGAGCTTGATTCTCTGTCTGTTGAACCGTTTCTATAGTTTTCTGCCATGAAAATGGAATTTATTTTAAGGCTTTGAACACGTCTTAACCAGGGTTGCCAAAATATACGTCAATTAAATGAGAAGTCAGGAATTCCTCGGGGATAAATATCACCATGAAATTACAATTGAACCTCAGTATTGTGACGCTCTGCTGCGCCCATCGGTAGAGATCGCATGAACGCAGTCTCAACTTCTCTAGCCTGCATGCTAAGTTGGCTGTAGACTGTGGCGGAAAGTGTTGTGTTTCAAGCCCCCACAGAATTCTCAGTTTATAATTCAATGTTAAATTTAATTGGTCATTCTACATTTGTAAAATTCCGTTTATGATGCAGACTAACCCTGCAAGATTAGCATTTTTATTTTCATTAACGTTGTGTAACATGTATGAGATGAGGAAATAGCGGGAAAGTGTAAAGGTGGCATCTTAACATAACGTTGCTCATGACATTTTTATTTCTACACGTTGCTTTACAGAATGTGGCCCAAAAGTCAGTTTTACAATACGGGTGGTCCTAAGCCTGGAATCTCTGACTTTATTTTTTAATTTTATCCCACACAACAGGAAAAAAATGTGTTTGTCATTTACTGTGTAGCACACTTACTCCCAAGTTTGGTGTAGGAAGGCAGATTTCAAATGTTGCCGATATGCCGCTTCTAGTAAGACATTTTCCACCCATAACTGAGCTAAACTGAGAAAAATGGAAACAACTGCATCTAAACATGAAGTTTGTACACTGGAAAAGCATCACTTAAATGGCCCTCGACGGATCGTTGCTCGCAGCTTTCACTTAACTCATTACCGCCTGCAGGAGTGACAGGAAGCGGCGGGAGCAGGAAAGCAAGTACATCGAGGAGCTGGCTGAGCTGATCTCTGCCAACCTCAGCGACATCGACAGTTTCAATGTCAAACCGGACAAATGCGCCATCCTCAAAGAGACGGTGCGGCAGATCCGACAGATCAAAGAACAGGGTGAGTTGTCTGACTCATTGTTTGGAGTGTGTGTGTGTGTGTGTGTGTGTGTGTGTGTGTGTGTGTGTGTGTGTGTGTGTGTGGGTGCGTGTGTGTGTGTGTGTGTGTGTGTGTGTGTCTAAGATGATGGGGGGAGCTGCTGTGGCCTGACCTCATAAGGGGCCGTTTAGCCGAGCGTTTTGCAGGTAATCACCTACGCTCCGCCAAAGTGCCAAATCGACAGTTGTGTTAAAGATGCATTTCCCGTTTGGGTTCTATTGGTAAATATGTTTTTGACTCTTAGCTAGAGGCAGGTTAAAGGTTAATTAGAGGGGAGAATCAGTGGTGGTTGTTTTTGTGTTTCTGTGGGACTCAGTTGGCGTCTGCCACCTCGACAGGAAGGGGAAGAGGCTACAGCTGGCCCTGACTGGCTGCTGACAGGTTGCCATAGTTACAGGAAGTGGAGACAGACATGACACAGGCTTTTGGACTCATCTCGCGCTTCCTACCTGTTCTACTTCACCCTGTCCCACTTTCATATGCTTGTCATGCGTGTTCTTATTTGTTTTGCTTGCTCTATCGCGTCTCTCTCTATATTTTCTTTACTTTTCATACCCTCCTCTCCTCCCTTAACTTCTCAGTGCTCCACTTCAAGCAGTGTCGTATATTGCCTTTTGTGTGGGTATTTGTGCCCCCCGGGATCCGAACGAGTGGCCAATATTGAGACAAACCGAACGTCAAATGCATTTTTCCTCTTGTCGTTTCTTATTGCAGCCATCTCTTTGTCTGGCTGCTGCTCCCAGCATCACCCCCACCCTTAATTCAGGTGCCTCGACTCCTGCCCCTGCACCATTACGGCTTGCAGAGCCTCTCTAGCTCTCTCCCACGCTCCCTCTCTCCACCTACCAGACACTTCCTCTGAGTCTGACACTGAATATAAAGCATGAGGACGACTATTACCTGCTGCACATGCACCCAACCCTCGATTCTTCCTGATGGGCTCCTTAGAGAAACCTGCCCCCTAGTATGCCTCTCTCTCCTTTACCTGTGTATATTAAAAATATATATATAAATAAATAAAAATTCTGATGCTTAAGAAACACTGCCCCCTGTTGGATCAGCTTTCGTGGATAATGCCAGTGGGTTTTTCCGTGCGTTTTAATACAATCTCATTGTCTTCCCTTACAGGAAAGGCTTCCATCAGCGACGATGTTCAGAAATCTGACGTTTCCTCAACGGGTCAGGGTGTCATTGACAAAGACCACCTAGGGCCTCTTCTACTGCAGGTGAGTCCATTGACGCCCCTGACTTATTGTCAATTCAACCTTCGATTGGACAAGTCTTGACTTCCCGCCACCAGGCTTTGGATGGCTTCCTGTTTGTGGTGAACCGAGAGGGCAGCATCGTGTTTGTGTCGGACAATGTGACACAATACTTGCAGTACAAGCAGGACGAGCTCATCAATACCAGCGTCTACAACATTCTACACGAAGAAGACAGGGAGGAGTTCCACAAGAACCTGCCCAAGACCAACAGTGAGATTCCAACATGCACACACGCATGCACATAAGCCTCTCGGTAAAGCTCTATCTTCCTCTTACTCTCATATATGCGACTTGCTTAATATTGACTGACTTGATTGAACCACTGACCCACAACTTCTTTTGCGCCGTGGGCTGGTTCATAAAAGCATGTTTTTTGTTGTTTTTTTTTTGCAGACCGGCATAAAATAACAATATTGACTGACCAAACATTGACCCCTGAACAACGAAGATGCCTTAACCTGTTAATATTATCACAAGATGACAAAATGCAGAGCTTTTCTCGTCAAAACGGCTTCATCTTCGGAAGATAATGCCAAGTCCTGGCTGCTCATCAGCTGCGTGCTGTTTAGCACGTGTGTTCGGTCATTGTTTGCTTCTCGCTGTTACTTTCTGTTTGCGTGGTGGGCTGGCTTCATCAATTTATATTTATATATGTGTGTGCGTGTGTGTGTGTGTGTGTGTGTGTGTGTGTGTGTGTGTGTGTGTGTGTGTGTGTGTGTGTGTATAAGGTGGACTGGCCAAGTCAATCGCTAGACCTTAACCCAAACAGAGCATGCATTTCACCCGCTGAAAAGGAGACTGATGGTTGATCCAATCGCATCCATTATCTGAACCGCTTTAGGGTCGTGGGGATGCTGGAGCCAATCCCAGTTGTCTTCGGGCAGTAGGTGGGGTACAGCCTGAACTGATTGCCAGCCAATCACAGGGCACATGCCACCAAATATTAAATGTTATTCATTTTAAGTTAATTTAATAATTTCCATTTGGCTTTCTTGAACAGTGGATGGCTTCAAACAAATGAGTTGTTTAATACATCTAGGTGTAAATACTTACTAAAAAGCTGAAATTCGAAACTTTGGTCTGATCTTCATCTTTTGATCTGAAACCCAAATGGCTTCAGGACACATGAAAAACAAAAGAATTTACCGTGCCATTGCATTACTTTTGGAGGTGACTGTATGTCCCGATATGCACATTGTCACCGACAGTGCTGCTCAGGAATAAAACTTGACATCATCCACAGGGCAAAGGTAAATGCCGAAGTTGCCCAAGTGGATCCGCCTACTCTTGTTCACGGGCCCTCAGTTATGGATTATGCTCCGTCGTGCTTATCTCCTCGTCGTAATGAGGAGCTCCTAGGGAGTGTCTTTTCAGAGAACTCTCAACACACTTGACACAAACGCACATGAAAATGGAAGCACCTAACTCACTCGGTACGGAGCAGGCAGTGTGTTCCAGCTGTCAGTCACACTCAGTGGTCCAGACAGTTTAAAACAGGCCTGAGCTCAATTCACATCCCATGGCAGCCATCTGGAAACTACTTAGTGCCGAATAATACACCCCCGCACGCTCCTCTTACCTCAGTCAATTTGCATGTGCGTACATGTCATTCCTTACATTAAATATTCACGCTAAAGACAGTATTACCTTTGTATTTGGTGTGTTTTCACCTCGCCCCCTGAGTGGGCACAGAGCACTATTTATGATCATTGATGAATGACTGAGCCTGCCACTGAAGCATTACTTTTACTTTTCAACAACGGATGTGGCCTTTTGTCCTGCATCTTCCTGTATTCCTTCTCCTATTGTCTCATCTTACCTTTCCTCCTAAACCTCTCCCGACTTTCTCGCCTTCATACACACAGACTGAGATGGCTGCCAAATACGCCAAATCTCACGGTTGGCCATTTTACAGCATGCCTGTGTCTGCACTCCCACCCCTCATTGTGTCTCGCTCTGCTGGTCGCCGCCGTCATTAGGCTTCCGGAGCCGTGAATGAAATGACCTCTCGCTGCACATTCCTGCGGGATGACCACTGGCCGCGCCATCTACAGTTAAATACACAAAAACTCTTAAACTCAAGCACAGGAATGCGTGGTGTGCTTTTGTGTTGCGCTGAAATTTTTCATTGATGAGGGCCATCATTTGCCCCCATTGCGACTATGCTGGGCGTTCTTTGCCAACATGGCAATTTTTTTTTTTTCACACGAACACTAACAATTTGCCCCAACAACTCCCCAGCTCCATTTGCAATATCCAGCTACCCTCTTGACATACCTCCAGTCCACATCCTCCTGCACCTGCCAGACAGAAACCTCCTGCCAACAATTCAAGGTCTTGAGACTTCACACAGACCTTGCAAAACGCTTTGTTTTCTCTGTGAAGTTTGCCTCCCTCTTTGTCTTTTCCTCTGACCCCCGCTCTGCCTTGCCGTGCCACGCATGTGTGTCTGTGTGCGCGTTACAGTGTAATGAGGAGTCGGGAACCTAATGAGGATAGATGACAGAGTGTGTGCCTGGCCTCAGAGTACACTTAGGAGAGGTATTGGAAATCGACACCTTAGCTACAATAATCCCATGGACCATTTAGCCGAAATCCGAACATCAGGAGAGACACCTGCTTCTCAATCCGGGTGGGGAAGTGCACGTTTTAGTGTGGTCTGTTTCTTTCCCGTGAGTTTTTTTGTGACGTTTGATTGCAGACTATGAGGAGACACGTGCATGTAATGTGTTCGGAAGAATTCATGTGTTTGTCCTTCTCTAGTAAATGGAGTGTCGTGGGGGAACGAGGCAGCCCGACAGAAGAGTCACACCTTCAATTGCCGAATGCTTGTCAAATTTGGCCACGCCCATGGCGCTTTGGAGGAAGGACCAGGAGGACCATCCTATGAGACCATGCAGTGTTTTGCCCTTACGCAGCCAAAAGCCATGATTGAGGAGGGTGAAGGTATAGCACAACGTTTTGCCTGCAATTATCAGTTTCAGTAACCTTTGACTACATTTAGAATGTGGAACACTGAACATGAGGCATATCTAAGTTGAGTACGACACTATGATATTCTTAAATACGATCAATAAATCGACAACTTGAGTTGAACGATCAAAGGAAGTCTGGAGCCTTCATTAGATGACCGAAATCACAAATCAAGGATTCGCAAACATGATGACTATTGTAGAATGACGTCAACGACAACCTGAAATAATGCCAAGGGACCAAGGCTACATGGTGGGGAATGTAAGAAGGAACAAACAATATTAGTTACTTCGATTAAAATGCATTTGAGATCAAAAATTGATTTCAACAGCTTAAAATATGCACAATAAATAAATTCATCTATTGACATTTTGATTACAAAAGGATTTGCAATAACATTCAAATCTATTGTACATTTATTTTCTTTCATGGTTAGTTCTGGCACTAACAAAACACCAATAAGACAATAATGTAGTTAAATGTATTAGTTCATTAAAAAAAGGGTTTTCTGTAAAGTTACAAAAAAGGACAAAATGCAGATGTTAAAATAAAAGTCATTTCGTTATAAACAGTCATTTTGTTAAAAAAAAAAAAAAGAAAGAAAAAAGAAATGGAATCAAATAGAGACTTGAGTGAATCGTTTCATCCCTAAATGCATCAATTTCTGTAAATTGGTATCTCAGCCAGAACATCGCACTTATTTGGAAGTAGGAACAAGCATCTGTAAAAACACCCCAAATGTACCAAATTTGAAGAGTTGGAGGGATAGTGAATGCACTAAGTCTCCGTATAGAGATGAGTGATTATGATGTACTGTTACTTTTATTTTGTTTTTTTGGGGAAATAACTTTTTAGCCCCAAGTATATAAAGTAACACATTACTGCCCCCTCTCTCCTCTAACCAGATCTGCAGTCATGTATGATCTGCGTGGCCCGTCGGGTTACCGCGATGGAGAGAACAGAGAGTTTCAATACAAGGCATGAGCTTTCAGGTGATGACTCACACAGAACAGGTTTTACCCAAGTCCAAGTCTTCACGCGTGACTAATCCCCTCTCACTTCTCGTGCTTTCCTTTCTTTTATTTGTCATCCTTCTTCGCGCTATGGCAGGTAAACTGATCCAGATTGACCAGAACTCTTTGCGAGCATCAGTGCGTCCAGGCTGGGAGGATTTATTGAGGCGTTGCATCCAGATGTTCCTCCAGCATAGTGACGGGCAACCCTGGTCCCACAAACGGCACTATCACGAGGGTGCGTGACACACTGGTCCTCGGCTGCACTCTTCAAACACATTACTCATCAATTGGGGCTCATGGCGAATTCAAACAACTGATGTGGATGCGTCTTTTCTGTGCAGCCTTTTTGCAGGGCCACGCCGAGACACCGCTTTATCGCTTCTCCCTGTCCGACGGCACGCCGGTCACTGCCCAGACAAAGAGCAAACTGTACCGTCACCCAATGAGCAACGAGCCACAAGGCTTCATCTCTACTCATCTCCTTCAGAGGTAACCAGAGGCAGATGCAGGAAATAGAAACAGTCCTCCCAAATACCGCGACGGATATGTCATCTACTGTCTTACAATGAACTTGCATTTCTCACCTCTCAGCCATTCATAGAAGGTGAGGTAGCAGCTGAAGTCGTTTTTAAACTTACAATGACGTGAAGAAAGCCTGGCACTACAGCAAATGTTGTAGCCGTCTGCAATTTAAGAAACGAAGTTGCTGTGTTGAATTGCAAGATTTTTATTTCCTTCTGATTTCTTTTCTCTCTCCAATCAGAGAACCGAATGGTTACCGCTCAGCTCAGGGTGGTAACATGATGCCCAACAACATGAGACAGCAGGCCATGGGAGGCCCCAACCCAAATGCTCAAATGAACATGAACCCCAGTGGTGGGATGGTGATGGGGGGCATGGGTGGCATGAACAGGGGCTTTGGAATGAACGAGCACGGGCACATGGGCCACATGGGTCAGATGGGTCAGATGGGCGGATGCTCCGCATATGGAGGGAGTAGTGGGGGTGGAGCCATGGGTAACCGCATGATGCAGATGAGTCAGATGGGACATATGAGTCCAATGAATAACCCAAGCCAAGGCATGCAGCACCATCCACATCAGCCCCCCTTTCAGAGTAGTGGGGGCTTCGGGCTAAGTGGTTTGAACAGCCCTTCAGGAAGCCCTCGGATCGGCGCTCCCCAATCGGGGCTCTTAATGTCACCCCGAAATCGAGGAAGTCCAAAGATGGGTGCCAATCAGTTTTCTCCCGCAGGTGAGTCAGTTCTTGTCCGGCGTCCAGAACATTTGTTCATGTCCCCACTTGCTTGCTTGATTATATTGCGGTTATCCTTCAGGCATGCACTCTCCCATGGGTGGCATTTGCAGTGGCGCAGGAGGCGTTGGGAACACGACAACCTACTCCAGCAGCTCCCTTAACGCCTTACAAGCTATTAGTGACGGAGTTGGGAACTCAGTCCCCGCCACACTGATGTCTCCTTCGTCCGTCCATAAACCAGATAGCTCTCCAAGTGTCCACTCCTCCTCTTCCTCCCAGCCAAACCAAATGGGCAAACCAAGCCAGGATGGATCCAAAAGCCCAGCGGGAGGCTTGGGGTCGGGGCCCGGGCCCATGCCTGTGCCTGGCGACCATCTCCACCCCTTGCACCATCATCAGCATTCGCAAGCTGAAGGCTCTGGAGACAGACCCGACAGCCAGGCAGCTGCAACACCTAAAGAGTTGGGAGACGGGGGCAGCGAGACTCCTGCGGCAATGTCGGAGCCAACTCGAAGGCTACCAGAAAGTAAGGGCCACAGAAAATTGCTGCAGTTGCTGACTTCACCAACTGAGGAGCTCGTAATGGGTGGAAGTGGACCTCCAGTGCCTCCTGCTCCACAGCCATTAAACAGTAGTACTCCGGCAGCCTCTGAAAGTAAAGACCCCGTTGGGGGGATGACGAGCCCTTCGTCCACTGGGGTGTCCTCCTCTTCCTCTGTTAATGCTAGTTCAAACCAGACAAGTGGGCTAGGGGGGTTGTCCACATCAGCCAACTACACAGGCTCACTCCAAGAAAAGCACAAGATTCTCCACAAGCTGCTCCAAAATGGCAATACACCTGATGAAGTAGCAAAGATCACAGCCGAGGCTACGGGGAAGGTGGCACTCGGCGGCCAAGAGGGCAGTGAAGTAGGTCCAGGAGTTTCGGGGTCCGGGAGCGGCCCCGGCTTAATCACTGAGCCCAAGCAGGAGCAGCTCAGCCCCAAGAAGGAGAAGACCCATGCCCTTCTCCACTATCTCCTCAACAAGGATGATTCCAAAGAGCAAGTGGACGTCAAACCCAAACTGGAGGAGCTTGATGGCAAGGGACCCTTGATGACTTCTTGCGGTCCTTCACGCGGTGGCCCTGAACATCATGAAAGCAAGATCAAGTCAGAACCACCGGATGATGTAAGTTCAGTTGTCTCTCTTGGCTGTCCTTGTTGATTTTGCCTCATCAACTGCACATGCTTCCACTGAAGTAGCTGCTTGGGCCTTGACGTAATTCTTCAGACAATTTTTTTTCCCAGTTGCACAACCTTGAGTCTATCCTGGGAGACCTGAGGGGGACCAGCTCTGATTTTTACTCAGATCAGGCAGGAGGCACTGTGCCAAACGACGGCAACAAAGCCCTGGGCTGCCTTGATGACAGTCTTCAGGGTAAGCAATGATATCGGTTTATCGGTCATCATATGGATTGTCTGCGTGTCCGTTTCTTGAATCTGCAAGCATACTTGTCAAGATTCACTATGGAAGTAAGGGGAGTGAATGACTGTGAATATTTTGTTTTACTTAGAGAGTCCAGGTTTGGGTCCAGGGCCTCGAGTGCCCTTCCAGCGGGCTTTGTCCATGAACGGGAAGCCTTCTGGTGGCCTTGGAGGACCAGGAAGGCGCCCCATGCCTGTCAAGCAGGAGAATATGATGGGTAGCCCAGATGGCTACCCAGGAAATATGGGTATGCACAGTATTTATTTGTTTCATTTGTTGCACATTGTACGTAGGTCTTTATTGAAATCTGCTCATTTATCGAATGTACAATTCCAAACTGAATTTCATGTCACGCCTCATAGCATCTACTGTGGTTAATTCTCATGCACATATTCATTCCTACCAGGACCAATGAATAGGGCCATGGCAACCCAAAGGTCTCCCATGGGGGCATCTGGAGACTGGGGAATATCCCGCTCCAGTCCCAGTCCGGTGGGTTCATCTGTTCACCCCACCATGATGCGTCCCAATATGGAGTACAACGGTAGCAAGGGAATGATGACAGGCCCCGTGGTGAGCCGCTCTAACAGCAACCCTGGATCCAGGTCTATGTTACAGCAGCAGCTCATGGATATGGGTATGTCGCTGTGTTCACCTTGACCGGCAATTGCATATTAACCATCCGTATTTGTGTGAAATGTCAAATTGTCATGTGGTTAAGGTGGCTCCCCTGACATGGTGATGAGTGTGAGCTCCTTCAGCCAGCATGGCCACGCCAACCCCGCATGGCCGGACACACTCATGGGGATGGAAGGCAACAGGTGAGCACAGCTCACCTCATAGTTTGTATTTTGTTTTAAAAGACAAAAAACTGAATCCGCATGTGCATTTGCCACAGACGCCAGTTTGCAAACACCTTAGATGAACTTCTGCCGCCACCCACTAACAGTGAGGGTCAGAGTGACGAGCGGGCGCTCCTCGACCAGCTGGATTCCCTTTTGAACAACACAGATGGCACCGCTCTTGAGGAGATAGACAGGGCTCTCGGCATCCCAGACCTTGTCAGTCAGGTAAGTCGCAGGAAGAGGTTGCCTTTTAGATGTAAGAATAGTACTTCTTGTCATGACTCACGACTGTGATTAATTTCAAACGTTTTATCTTTACTCAAAGTTTTCTGTCTGTTTTGAAGTGAGATTAATGAGCCCGGGGAGATTCAACTCTGCTGTTTTAACGAACAGAAAATAAATCAATAAGAGAGAAAAAGTTTGGTCAGCTCCTTTGCTGTCTGTTTCATCAGACCCAGGGAGCAGAACAATCGCTGGAGCCTTTCACGGGACAAGAACCTTCCATGGTTCTGGACCAGAAACCGCTCTATGGACAAGGCTATCCCGGACCCCCAACCATCGCCATGCAGACCGGCTATGGAGGCAACCCTATGCAGGGGCAACCTCAGCAAGGTGGATTTGGACCCATGCTGTCGCAAATGGGCCAAAGTAATAGTTTCCCTGTCCCTGGCATGGGCGGGATGGGGAGCATGGGGCACCCTCGTGCCAACATGATGAGGCCCAGGATGATGAGTGCGAACAAACCCATGAGGCTCCAGTTGCAACAAAGGCTGCAGGGACAGCAGGTATGGAAGCGCAGTTGTTAATATTTAGGTTTAAAAAAAAATCATTTTCAAGTTTGGTGCTGTTTTACATTCGGATAAGAATAGGATATTATGTTGTCATCATATTCTTACAAGGCCTTTTTTTAAATTGTGAAAAGATTATTTTTAGCATCCTTAAAATATAACCTTATTTTTAAAATGTATTTGTTTATTTATTTATAATATTTATATGAGATACTTTTTGGTTTGATACAATCCAAAGCCTTTTCGATTCTCAGTTCATGAATCAGACACGGCAGGCCATGGGCATGAAGTTGGAGAATCCTGGAGGCAACCCTGGCATGAGGCCTGCTATGCAGACAGGAATGACTGGACAGGTAGACATCAGTAGACTTGACTCTTCCATCCATTCATATACTAGCCTTCTTTTTCTTCATTAGGACTGTGGGTGAGTTGGGGTCAGTCCCAGCTGACTCTAATCCAAATGTCATATCCAGTTTACCAAGTAGACAAACACCCCATTCACACTCACATTGACATCGATTGACAATTTATCTTCAAATGCCCATTTTCGAATGAGGCTGAATGGGGAAAACATGCCAACTCCACACAAAAGGTCCTGAGTAGAAACTCCGATCCAGAACCACTGGAGTATGAGGCAGGCGTGCTCACCACAAACTCCTGTGCTTCCCGCTATGACATTATCTGTTCATACAGACGTCTTTCCTCATAACAGACTTCCTCAGGTGCTCTGAAGATTGTTCTGCCTACAGGGGTTCCTGAATGCTCAGATGATGGCTCAGCGCAGCAGGGAGATGGTGACCATGCAGATGAGAAGGCAGCGCATGATGATGCTGATGCAACAGCAGCAGCAGGCAGCTGCCGGTGGATTCAGCCCCCCGCCTAACGTCACCGCGCCTGGCGGCATGGACAATAGTGTGGCAGGACCAAACATGGGTCAGCCTGGTCCTCAGCAGTTTGGTTATGGAGGCAATTACGGTGAGTTCACTGATGCAGTGGAACAATGCTGCTCCCTGGTGGTGAGTTTCTGAAATGCTCAGAAATGTTCAGAGAACGGTGAAGTCTGTTTTTCACAGGGAAAGCATTTCAGATACACCAGCAATAAATGAAAGTGTGCTGTACAGCAAGACCATATGAAAACTTTTGAAAATATTCTATGGCGTTTGAGATCAGAGTTTAATTTGTTCTGTGACCATGCTTGTAACGCAAAAACACTGAGATCATCTTTGAAATTAATGGAAATGCTATTATCTGTTCCAGCAAAAAAAAAAAAAAAATCAACAGTAAGTTTGATATGTTCAGTCTTTATTGTATTGGAAAGTCTCTTGTCGTGGAAGTGGAAAAGGCAGGATATGATGGAACAGAGTTCCTTGTACTTCTGCAATGCTAAAATAAACATGCGCCAAATGCAGTGATGTGCAGGGCATTTATCAGAAAGCACCACCCTTATGAAAGTGTGGCCAACAGAGCAATTGCTCTTTTAAATGACAATGTGCGTCCCACTTTGGGAAAATTTTTCTAAAAAGAAATGGATAAGTTTGCCCGGAGCATTTTTTTATTTCTTAATAATGATGTGTACATGTTCATTTCATTTACATTTCTGACTTTTATATTGTACTGTTTATTTTCAACCGCACAATTAAAATCACAGGTATATCATAAAATGTGAATATAATTTTGGGCTGGAACGAATTAATTAAATTTGCAATAATTTCAATGGGAAAAGTTACCTCGAGTTATGGAACGAATTAAGTTTGTAACTTGAGGTCACGCAGCATACTGTAAAAAACAATTTTAAAAATGAATCAAAGGACAAAGCAGGGACATGAATGTGGAACCGCGATTGTGTATTTCTTATTTAATTAATCTCTCCAGGTATGAGCCAGCAGGGAGACCCCTCATTTGGCCCATCCGTTGCTAACAGTCCCCCGAACGCCATGATGACGGGCCGCCTGGGGCCTCAAAGCGCCATGATGCAGCAACACCAACAGGGCGGTCCCATGTACCAGGGCACCGAAATGAAGGGCTGGTCACAGGGAGGCGTGGGACGCAGCAGGTGTGCAAAAGGCTGCCCTGGCTTTCTGACGCCATTGGAACGAATGTTTATCTTGAGCTCTCGTCTGCTCCCACACCAGTTCGTACCCTCCGCAGCCGTTTGGCCAACAAGTGCCTCCAGGACAGCAGCAGTTCGGGCAGCAAGGAAATCCTGGCGGCTATGGAGCCATGATGATGAACGGTGGCATGGCGACCAGTGGAGGAGCAGCTCACATGGGTCCGATGGGAGGACAGATGGGCATGAATCCAATGGTGATGGGGCGTATGATGGGCCAAGATCAGGTTGGTGATCACATGAAAATGATTTTTCTTGGAATAATTTGAATGCGCAACTGACCTGTCTTCTTTTCCTCTACTCAATCCAGAAATACTGCTGAGCGTCATGGAGGACATCTTGGTGTGTGGGGAAAACTCATCACTAGGGTCGCAAGCCTTTGGATTGATGCCTTGGGGGCAGACGGCGGGGGAAGTTCTTCAGTGCTTGTCAAACTCAACAAACACCAGGATACACACACACACACACACACACACATTCAAATACCTTTGCAATACCCCGCTGAATGCAGTTTGATATTTGTGTCCGAGCAGGTGGTCATGTAGACACTCTCCACTTGTCGGGCGGTGTCAGTGGGCTTGAGGTGCCCGCGGCATGGATGTCGAGATGGCCTGTTTTAAGCGTAGCTCCGAAGTCTCCTTTGTCGAATGTACCGTGAGACTTCATTTTTCTCATGGCCGTTCTTTCCTACGTTTTCTCGCTTCCGACGGCGGTGCCAACATGAAAGATGGTTGGAGAGCTGAAATAAGCCAGCGGATCGTGACACTCGGATGAATGTCGGTAAAGAAGCAGCACATTGTTTCATCCTCCGAGGCTCGACGGGCTAGCGTTAAACTGAATTTTACTTGTTGGCTGATTGCACTTTAAGGAGAGGCCAGCATCAACAGGATTGTGGCAATATAGAGGCCTTTACTCAAATTTGAACACATCGTGGAAGATATTTTCGGTTTTGTTGAACGTTTGGTCGAAGCGGGATTTTTTTTTTGGTGTGGTATCAGAAATGGGCTTGAGGATCTCGTTCTGAAGTGGGAACCATTAGAGAGGTAGCAAGCACAGATTTTACAACAACGCTCTTGTAGTCAGTGAACCAATTTATTATAAGAGAAGAAATTAAGGGTGGGGCGGGGGAAGAGCATTTTAAAAACACAACTGGCGTATATTTATACAGATTCAAGAGGAGGTCCTTTTATCAATCCATAGGAAATTTTTAAAATCTGAAAGTTGAAGATATTTTGCTTACTTAAAATGTCAGTGTTTAAACATACAGAAATTGACAAGTGGCCAAGTGTGACGGTGATGTGTATATAAATTCACACTGTAAAATCACTAGATTTCTAGCAATAATCTTTCCTCCTGGTTCTCGTCTGTGTTGAAGCATCAGTTCCTCAGAGTGGCGGTACTGCAGTATTAGACACAATGTCTTGTTGGATTTCCTTTATTGTTGATAGTCATTGTAAATAGACTTCAAATGTACTATAAAGTATAGAATTATATATATGCTTTTGTAGGTCACATACTTTTTTGCACAGATTGCAAGGCTTCATATTTGTCTTATTCCATCATAGGTCAGCTTTTATTTTAAAGACTTGAACACTTGGTTGGAAAGAGAAATCCTCTAATAGTTTTGAAAGCAGTACGTGTGTAATTTCTTTCATACCGTACTTGCATCTTCTTAAAAAGCACTTTTTGTTGTAATTTTCAAATCAGTCTTTTCAATTTTTTAGGGCATCAGATTTGTTCGAGAGGTGCTAAAAAAAAAAAAAAAAAGTTAAAAGAAATATTTGGAAGGCTTTATCTACAATATTTTCTGAAAGATTTGTTTTAGGCCAATGCACTTCATCAATGGGTGGGAGTATTTTCTTTGAATTGAACATCATTTTTCGATGTAACTCTCACATGAGATTAAGGCTGTCATTTGAATTTCACCAGTGGGCTCTTTGCACATAGTGGCACGACGCCATAGCCGTTAACGACAATGCGGTTTGGCAAACTACCAACAAGCCATGTAATCGTTAGACTCAAAGTAAACAACAGAGTAGGAGTCATGAAAAGATGAGCTCAACGATTGAACTGCCACTGATGAAACTTTTAGAATCAATCATCGGATCGATCGCTCCCCGGTTGACAATGTGTTCTTTTTCTTTTATGGGAAATGTCTAACAATGAAAAGCACACCCCTACAAATAACCCTTCGGTTTGCCACAGTTGTATATTACTGTATATTAAAATTATATTCGCTTCAAAGGGTTCATTTCCGGCTCAGGCCTTTCTGTGTGGAGTTTGCATGTTCTCCCCGTGCCCGCGTGGGTTTTCTCCGGGTACTCCAGTTTCCTTTCACATTCTAAAAACCTGCGTAGCAGGTTAATCAAACACGAATCAAATCTTTACCAGTGCCAAGGCAGTATCTAGGGGTTGTTTAAAACATGTTCAAAAAGAGAGAAGGAATCACTGATTTTATAGCAATGTTTGGATGTCGATGTGTGCCCTGCAATTGACGAGTGGGTGTACCCCACCCCACTGTCCAAACATGGCTGGAAAAGGCTTCAGCACGCCCGCAACCCCGGTGCGGATAAACGCATTGGAAAATGGATGGATGGATGATTTTATCGCACATTTCATACACAACTTTACTCAATATGCTTTCCATGTTTTCATTAAAAGTGCAAAATTTAAAAGCAGACACAGCTAACCAAAATTAATAAAAGTGTGTCAAGTGCAAGAACAAGATATTTGAAAACATGATTTAAAAAAACTCTTTGAAAGACCTTAATCGGAGTTATGGAAAAAGATATTTTTTTAAACCTGGATTTAAGATAAGATATCATTTATTTGTCCCACACTGGGGAAATTTACAGTCTACAGCAGCAAAAAAAACATCCCTTCTTATTGTTGGTGTTTGGTTCTTCGGTGGAGGATGTGCATTGTGATGCTTGGTTTGGGCAAGGAACGTAAGCACGACACGCAGAATAACGCAATTTCTCAAAACGAGGCGAGACGCAGCCCTATTTCGGCACTATGGAAGATTACGTGCAAAGAGCCCATTTGGTCCTCTTTGGCCTCCAACCATGTCAACCATTTCGGTTTTATTGTAAAACCCTGCACCGCAAATCAGTTAAATGTCACGTTGAGTTTATTTTTTTATGTGACTTTTTTTTTCACTCCCTTAAAAATCTTATTTGCAGTGAAGCTTCTGTTTTAGGAATCTACCTAATGAAGATGTGCTCAATCCAAAGAGACTATGTTTGTCGTTTTGCATTGCTTAGAGACAGTTCCTGAGCTAGATCGTATTTGTGGGCTTTTATTGTTGCGCCGATGATGTTGAATATGATTGCATATGTTATATCCACCTCCCCTCAGACAAATGGTAGACATGCATCTGGCTCTGGCGTATACGTACTTGAATGCCTTCCTTGGGGAGTTCCGTTTTCTTCTGGCCCAAAATGTGGTGCTGTTACTTTACAAATGAAAGATGTTGTAAAGTGGAAGAGTTTCAAAAGTGGTTTTGATCACAGCCCCAATTAAGAATATTCAAGCAACATTTGGATTTAAATGGAAGAAACTCTTCTTAGAGAGAAATAGAACCCCCCCCAACTCCCCGGTGGGATACATGTTATTACTGGATGTACATTTCTGTTGTTTTTTTTCTTACCTTGTTCTCAATGTTAATATTGTTGTAAATACAAATTTATATTTAAAGTGTATGTCTCTGCTCTCTCTTTCCATTGATAACATTGCTCATTACTTCTTTTGTATTGGTAAATGGATTCAAATTGATAATGACTCAATATTTGTAAAATATTGTTTCATATACAACATGTACAGTATATGCATTCTACTCTATGTGCAGTACATACAGCACTTTCAGTGATATTTTACGGGTTGCAACCCCTGAGCGATTGTCAATGATTGACCCCTATTCCATTTGACAGTGTGTCACAACTTGATGGCTGGGGTTGCTCAGGTCGTTGATTTCAACCAGTGTGCCGTGATAGATCATCAGGGGTGCCAAAGCAAGTTATCCAATTTGACATAATCTGAAAATGCATTATTAAATTTAATATAATTGCAATGTTGCTCGCCATTCGTGGGAGATACGGCCCGCAAATGCGCAAAAATAATAATTTTCGTAGGTGAATCCGTGCATGCCTAAACACAAGTATGCAAGGGGCAACTGTATCTCCATATCGGTCTATGCCAGTACAATACAGTAATATACTGTACATCTTCATTATATGTCGGGCTATATGTCGGGCTTTCACACCAGCTTTAGCTGTACCAAAGCGCTTGGGAGAACATTTAACAGAAAGTAACAAGACTACCACAGAACACATAATGTACAATGCCAATAATACGATCGGAACAACTACCTACATATGCCTTGTTGTTTGAAGTGGTAATAGATGAAAGAGAAGAGAATCACAGACGTCATGCCAGCTTTGTGTTCCATTAAACAGACCCAGATTCACACAGTAAGGCTATGTGTGAGTCAAAGATGAGGTGGTGTGTGTGTGTGTGTGTGTGTGTGTGTGTGTGTGTGTGTGTATATATATATATATATATATATATATATGCATGCAGTGTGTGGAGTTTGCATGTTCTCCCCGTTCCTGCGTGGGTTTTATCCGGGCGATTCCTCCCACATTCCAGAAACACGCATGGCAGGTTAATGGAACCTTCGAAATTGTCCCGAGGTGTGAGTATGAGCGTGAATGGTTGTTCGTCTCTGTGTGCCCAGCAATTGGCTGGCATCCGGTTCAGGGTCCATCATTGAAAAAAAAATAAATCTTAATGCTTCTATTTTACACACAACTTAAATCCAAACTTTGCTTTAAAAAAAACATTGCAAAATAAATCATAAATGTGATACGCATTCAATTTCAGGCAATAAAAACACATATGACCAGGATTAACGTCCATATTCATTCATTCAATTTTTTTTTCTCCTGACACTGGATATTTCAGTTTCATTGTATTCATGGTTTTCCTTTTAGTTCATTTTATGAGGTGTTATATTCAAAAGATGTGTTTTATGAATGTGCTACATTTGCTGGTGAAGTGATTGCTGACGTGGGGCGGACAAACATGAAAGGGACGCACGGCTCGTCGATTGGACTGCACGCGCACATGCATCCGCCTTCCCTGCGCGCTCGCGAAACCGAAACCTATTTCCTTTTTTTTCTTTTTTTTTTTTTGTTCCAGAACAGACAAGACTCCACTTCAGCACTTTGCACTTGTCTTCCCCAAGCGGTGTATGTTCACATGTTTTAATCATGGCTCCGTTTCTGTAACCTCTCCTAGTTGGTGCGTGTTTTTATTCCCTCCCAATCTCTTTTTTTTCCCCTCCTTTTCTTTTGGACCGTTTATTCCCCACGAATGAGTTCACCGCTCTTCTTAGGGCATCTGGTCGGGGTTCCCGTGGAAACGATGGATCCCGGTGCCGGAGCCAAAGACACGACTCGCACGAAGATTTTTGTCGGCGGATTGCCGTATCACTCGGACGACGCCTCACTTCTGAAATATTTCGAGACTTTCGGGGATGTCGTCGAGGCGGTGGTGATCACCGACAAACACACGGGCAAGTCCCGAGGATATGGCTTCGTAAGTACGCGATTTCTCTCGAATTGAGTTTTTTTTATAGCCCTGAGCGTTTATGTCGACACTAGCACATACTTCTAAAGTATCAAGTTGTTTGCAGTCATTTTGCCATTCATTCTTTGATCACTTGCCTCAAATCCTTTGCTTGCTGAACTGCGCTTCACTATCCTTCATTATGCATGACATTACTCGAGATGTCATGCATGTTCTGAAACATAACCCCCCCCCCCTCCTTAATTAGATATGGTTCGAGTTTCAGTTTGTACTACCTTCGGAGCATTCCCCTGAACACATAAAAACAAAACTCACGAAATGCTCAAGTGAAGTGAAATGGGGAAAAAAAAGATATGGAGCAACTCAGGTACTGTAATGCCCTTGCCCTGCGCACTTAAATCAATTTATTGAACGGGAAAACAGTCACAACACAAATAAAAACAAAAAATGAGGAGACTCACAATGAGTTGCTGTAAAGACAAACTGGCGAGCCTGAGTCCAGCTCTTGACATCACACAGTCAACACTTGAATGCTACAGTACATACAGTTATGCAAATTATTTTTTTACGTTCCCTTATTGTGTTTTATTACGTTTTTTTAAAAATCAACTGTTCGGGTTTTCGTTTTTAAAAACATGAAGTGAGGTTTTTTTTTGGGGGGGGTGGCATTTCAAATGGGGAAAATCTGTTTGACTTCTGAACAAAGTGAGTTATGAATTTAATCACAGAACAAATTCAACTCGTCACGGAACTATTTTAGTTTGTGCCAGTGTGAAATTAAACCCGCCTATTTCTGAAAATGTGTCTGCGAGCGAGCCGCTATGCACTTATATTATGAAAAAGTAAGGCTAATTAATAGTGTGTGTGTGTGTGTGTGTGTGCGCGCGCGAGACTTCTACCGAGCCACAGCATCATCCTCTGCGAGCTCCAGCAGATCTCAAACCGTCCTCCGCCGCTTGCAGAAAAGTTTCACATTGAGCATCCATTTGCGCTTGCGTGGCTTGACCTTGAGCTCAAAACACTCAAAGCTCCCCTTCCCACGCTAGCTTCCCACTCCTCAAATTCACTCCCTCAAGGTAGATTCCGGTTGCTCATCCCAATCCGGAAAAAAAAACCTCCCACGGACTGATGCAGCCCACACCATGTTAACATGCAGCTGAAACATCTTAATGCAGATCTCTGGGCCTCCTCCTATACTGTATTTTTGTATATGATCGTCTTTTTTTTAGAGGACAGACAAGCTCCCTGCAGGCAAATAGAAGAGCCTGTCCAAGTACAAAGGAGGAGGAAGAGCATTTACATCAAGGTTATTAGCGTTAACGAAACAAAACAAAAAAAAAATCCTAAAATTGAAAAAAAACATTTTGCTAATGAAATCAAAACAAAAATGCTTTGGAAAAATGAGCTTTCAGGGATCCTTTTAAATGTACGTCCGTGCGGAAGAAGGAAGGTCAGACAGTCATTTGAAAATTGAAATTTGCTTTATTACACAATGCAGTAGAGTGACCTTTTATTTATCGGTTTTAATCTTGCACCTGTCAATACTCCACATATTGAAAAGAAATAAAACTAAAACCTATTAAAACTACTCTCTAATCAAACGTTTAAAACTTTACTAACTTGCTCTCCGAACTCATGAAAATGAGCTGAATTAAAAAAAACAAAAGTTGCTAACAATAGTGACCCATCCAAAACTATGACAACTCTGGTTTACACATAACGCAGTTAGGCTGCTTTTGTGGAATTCACCTGTGGGATGTTGTGTCAACAGGTGACCATGGCGGACGGCGCGGCCGCAGAGCAGGCATGCAAGGATGCGAATCCCATCATTGACGGCAGGAAGGCCAACGTCAACCTGGCGTACTTGGGAGCCAAGCCGCGCGGCTCGCATTCCAGTGAGTGTGTTTTTTGGACCGTCAAACTTTGCATGCTTCTCTTCCGTAGGTCACACCAGTCAATCCAGGAACAAAAACTTCATCAAGAGCTCTGTGCTCTGGGATTTCTCTGGAATTTGCTCTCCTAACGTTATTTTTAGCTGTGTATTAGTGACAACAACTCTTAAATGGTTCATATCAATCAATCTATCAATCAATTTATGAATATAGCACTTTCCATTCCGTTTTAAACGCAGGTTTGTTCATTTTTATTAGATTTTATTTGGTCGAAAATGCTTCATTTTACTTAGTTGTTTTTAGTTTTAGTATTAGTTTTATTTATTTATTTATATTGCCCATTTTTCAAGTGCAAGATTTTTAAAAAAAAGAAAAAAAAAGGTCACAAAGTATTGTGTAATAAAGTCAAGTACACTCCAATTCTCAAACTTACTGTTTGAGAAACGTCTGTTCAAACACCCTTCCTTTCTCTGAACGGATGTGAAGCAAGACAAAAATAAATGCATTTCAAATGAACCCCAAAATGGATGGATGGATGAAAATTAGGCGGCCCGGTGGTCCAGTGGAGTTTGCATGTTCTCCCCGGGCCCGCGTGGGTTTTCTCTGGGTACTCCGGTTATCTCCCACGTTCTAAAAACATGCATGGCAGGCTGATTGAACACTCAAAATTGTCCCTAGGTGTGAGTGTGAGCGTGGATGGTTGTTTGTTTCTGTGTGCCCTGCGATTGGCTGGCAACCGGTTCAGGGTGTCCCCCGTCTACTGCTCGAAGACAGCTGGGATAGGCTCCAGCACCCTTGTGAGGATCGGAAAATGGATGGATGAAAATTAAGGACATTTTCATTACAATCATAGTTTTCTTGTTTTAAAGCATTTTCGTTTTTATTTTATTTCGTTAATGAAAGTATATTTTTAACTTTAGTTTTGGTTATTTTGTTAGTTCTTGTGACTGTATATATATATATA